TACATTGATTTTGTGTTCTGTTACTTTGCCAAAAGTGTTTATCAGATCTAAGAGATTTTTGGTGGAGTCTTTAGGATCTTTCAAATATAGGCTCATACCATCTGCAAATAGGGATAACTTGACATCTTCCTTTCCTATTTGTATCCTCTTTATTTCTTTCTGTTGCCTTGTTACTCTGGTTAAGAATGCAAGGACTATATTGAATAAGAGTAGAGAATGGACACTCTTTTCTCATTCCTCGTTGGTTTCAATTTTTCCCCCATTAGGATTAGGTGGGCTATAAGTTTATCATATCTAGCCTTTATTAAGTTGAGGTACATTCCTCAATTCCTAATTTCTTTGTTTTTATGTTTAAGGGATGTTGAATTTTGTCAAAGACTTTTTTGGCATCTATTAAGAAAATTATGTGATTTTTGTTCTTTATTCTGTTTAAGTGCTGTATTTCATTTATTAATTTGCATTTGTTGAACCATTTTTGCATCCTTGGAATGAGACCAACTTGATTATTGTGTATGATCTTCTTAATGTGTTGTTAAATTTGATTGCAAGCATTTTATTGAGAATTTTTGTGTCTATGTTCATCAAAAAAATTGGTCTATAATTTTCTTTTTTTGTTCTGTCCTTATCTAGTTTTGGTACTAGGGTAATTCTAGTTTCATAGAATATCCCTTCTCTTTCTAGTTAATGGAGTAATTTGAGGAGCATTAGTGTTAGTTTTTTAACAATCTGGTAGAATTCAGCAGTGAGTCCATATGGTCCTGGGACTCACTGTATTACTGCTTCACTTTTATTACTTGTTATAGATCTATTTAAGTGGTTTATATTCTATGGTTTATGTTCAATTTTAGTAGGCCATATGCTCTAGAAATTTATCCAGTACTTCTAGGTTTTCCAGTTTATTAGAATATAAGTTTTGAAGTATTCAGATGACTAGGGACCCTCTGAATTTCTTGATGTTTATTCTGATATCCCCTTTTGTCATCTCTAATTTTATTAATTTGGGTCTTCTCTTTCTTTTGGTTGGTTTGGTTAAGGATTTGTCAATCTTATTTCTTTTTTCAAAGAATCAACTTTTTGTTCCATTGATTCTTTTCTATTGTTCTTTTACTCTCCATTTCATTAATTTCTGCCTTGATCTTTGTAATTTCTTTCCTTTCACTGCTTTTGTTTTGGCGTGTTCTTATTTTTCTAAGAGCTTGAGGTGCATTGTTAGGTTATTTTTTTGGGATCTAGTTTTTAATCTCTGTAATTCATAGCTATAAACTTCCCTTTTAGCACATTGATGACCCATTGATCATTCATGAGTGAATTGTTTAGCCTCCATGTGTTTGGTATCTTCTGTGGTTTCTCCTGTTATTGATTTCTAGTTTTATTCCATTATGGTCTGATAAAATATAGGAAATTATTTCAGTTTTCTTATATTTGTTACAACTTGTTTTATGACCTAAGATATGATCTATTTTGGAGAAAGTTCCATGGTCTGCTGAGAATGTATATTCTGTGGCTGTTTGGGGAGATATTATGCAGATGCAGATATCTGTTAAGTCCATTTCAGTGATAGGGTTATTTAATTTTTTGTCTGATTAGCCTGTCCACTGATGAAGGTAGGGGTACTAAAGTCAACCACTATTGTTGTTGGGGTCTCTCTGTGTTTTTATGTCCAGTAAGTAATGTTTGTGTTTATGAAATTGGGTGTATGTGTTTAATATTGTTATCCCCTGGATTGTTCCCTCTATGAAAGACATTTCCCTTTATGAGTGACCTTCTTTGTCTCGTCTAACTCTGGTTTTAAGTCTGCTTTGCTAGATATAACTACTCCTACTTACTTTTGGGCTCCATTTGCTTGAACAATCTTTTTCCATCATTTTACTCTGAGCCTATGTTTATCTTCACCAGTGAAGTGCATTTCTTGTAGGCAACAAATAGTTTGGTCTTGTTTTTTAATCCAATCCACCAGTCTGTCTCTTTTTATTAATAGAATTGAGACCATTGACATTCAGAGTTATTATTGAAAGGCCTATAGAAAGTCCTGCCATCTTATTGCTCTTATGATATTTGCATATTTCCTAATCTTCATTTACTAATCTACTTATCTAGTGGGAATTAATATTTCTTGCATGTTCCTGGTTGCATGTGTCTTCATTTTAAATATGTTTTGAAGTGCTGGTGTAATGATCATGAATTGCTTTAGTTTTTGTTTATCATGAAAGATTTTTTATTTCTCCTCCAATCTTGAAGGTGGTATAGTAATGAAGGTTAGCAGTTATTTTCTTTGAGGGCTTGAAATGCATCATGCCCTCCTTACATTTAAAGCATTGTTTGCTATTCTGATGGGTTTGCCTTTTATATGAATTGGCATTTCTCTTGTACAGCCTCCAACATTCTTTCCTTGTCCTGTGTGCCTAATGTTTTAGCAATAATATGATATGGGGAGGTTTTTTTTTTTTTTTTTTTTTTGTCTTGTCTATTAGGAGTTCTAAAATCCTCCTGAACCTAGATGACCATTTCTTTCTTAAGATTTGGGGAGTTTTCTTCTATTATTTTATTGAATATGTTTTTTATGCCTTTAACTTACACCTTTTCTCCTTCTATGCCCATGATTCATAGATTCGGTCTTTTAATGTCGCCTCTGTGGTCTTAAATTTTCTGTTCAGACTTCTTTAGGTTTCTTATTCTTACCTCCATTTGCATGTTCTAGCACATACATCTACTTTGTCTTGATCTAGTCTATAGGAGAGAATTTCAACAGGTTTTTTTTTTTGTACTTATTGAGCTTTTCATTTTCAGAATTCAATGTGTTTTGCTTTTCAGAATTTTTACATCTTTATGGAATTCTCCTTTCTTGTCTTGCATTTATTTGAATCTTATTGTAATTAATTCAGACATTTATTCTTGTCCTCTTTAATTTCATTGATTATTCTTAGAATCATTTTTATGAATTCTTGCCTGAGAGTTCATCTACTTCACTGTCATTAGTTTTTGTTGCTATGGAATTGTTGGCTTTTGGAGTTGTGTTGTCTTTTCATATTTCTTTTATTTTTGCATTGGAATTTGTGCATCTGAGGCCACCTGTAGTGTTCCAGTTAATATCGTCTCAGTGTTCAGGCATGATAGTGTGGAGGCTAAGTTGAGGTGCTATTTCTTTTCAATGGACTTGGGGTTATGACTCAGTAGCCACTTATTTGCCCACATGCCTAGGTCACTGGGCCTGATTCCCAGCACTGCTCAGATCAAGGTAAACTAGCTGGAGTTTCTTATAGAAGTGTTGGTTGTCTGCCTTCTGGCTGCTTTCACTATAGAAGCCTCCTTTCTTTGTGTACTGGGGGGCCATTGCTAGCTGTAGGGAGCATTGCAGCTTGTGGGCCAGGCAGTTTCCCACTTGCTCCACATGTCCACTCACTTTCTGTCTCCAGGGGCAGCAAGCACCCATGCCTTGGGTTGACCCTTGAATGCATCCAAGAATAAGGGGAACAAACAGAGCCCTGAATTCTACACTGGGTGTGGGAAAACTGAGGGACCTAGTCACTTTCCTTTCTGGTCTCAATGTTTATAGCCACTATCCAGCAGTTCACCTCCCCATCTAGAGGATTAAGTTGTGGAAGTCTCATGGTTCAGAGAGTTTGGACCCTGGCTTCCCAGCAGCAGGCCTCAGTGCTTTCAGACCCTGGTCAGCATTCACCTCCCTCTTGAGGAAAAGAGGCTGTGGAGAGCATGTGATTTAACAGGTGTGGGCTGGTGTTCTTTATACCCACTTGGCCACCATCGTGTGCCAGGATACAGTTACTGGAGGTAACTTCAGTGCTTTGAAACCCTGCTGAACAATTTACCTTACTGTTGGGGGGAGGAGGCTGTGGCTCTCATGTGAGTCAGAAGGTCTGAGCTCCAGGTCCTTATATTCACGCTGGCAGCAAATTCAACAGGATGCAAATTCCAGGGTCAGGTCTTAGTGCTGTCAAGCTCTGCCCCACATTTCACCACCCTGAGAAGGAAGAGTCTGTAACTATCATATGATTTGGAGAGTTTGGGCTCAAGGTTCTGACCCATCAAGTAGTGAACACGTACAGCCAGGGTCCAAGTCTTGGAGGCCTACTGCTAGGCCACAGGCTCAGTGCTTTGCTTCTACCTCTACACTTGAGCAATGGAACTGGCTCCTTACCAGGGAGGGCAGGGTCTCTAACCACTGTGTCCTTTGCTGCTGGGGCTCCCCACTGCTTGAACTCTTATGTGGGACCACATCAGACCCTCTGTCTCTCCTTGACCACCTCTCATGGCCATCTCCCATGTAGACACTCTGGCAGGGTGTCCCAAGACTCCCTGAGCTGTGACTGTTCCTTGTCATCAAGCCCCCATAGTATCTCAGTCTCAAACAATAGGCACTCTTTCAGGATAATATCTTGCTACAGCTCTCTAGGATAAGGAGAGCAACAGAATGTCTTTCTTCACCAAGGTTAGCCTTCCTCATTGGAACAATTACTGTCTCACCAACTCCCCACAGTGGGTTTATGATTTGTGTTAGGTATGGATTTATGTTTCAGGTATAATTGTTAATCTGTCACCAGGGCCATCTGGCTTACCTTGTGAATATGTCTTCTTCAGCCTCCCCTCCCCCTTCTAGGGAGCTGGGGAATGGACTTGGAACTGTTTGTTTCTTTTCTCTGTTGTCTCAGTTTCTCCCTGCCTTTCTGCTGTCCTGTTACCTCATTCATGGTTCCTGATGCTCTTTCTTAACTAGAATATGATCTTTTCTGTGTTACCTTACTTGTCTCATTTATGGACTCAAAAATGGTGACTCTTCTAATTCTGCATCTTGCCTCCAGTGACATTAACTGGGGATTTTTATATAACAGATCTCTGTGGTCCTGCTGTCTTAGATAAAATATTGTGGATACGAAAGAAAGAAAGAAAAGCAAAAGTCTATTCATTACATCTGGCAAATGAGAGGAAGACGCAGAAAATCCCTTTACTCCATTATCCCTCTAACTTGTGCTATTTGGTTCTAGGGGCTCGTGTAAATGCCAAGGACAACATGTGGCTGACCCCACTACACCGAGCTGTTGCTTCCAGAAGTGAAGTGAGTAACTGCCTTATTTAGTGTAATACTTACTGTCCCTAGCAAAAGAAGAATTCTTTCTACTGAATTAGAGATCCTTCCTGGTGAGCAAAAGGCTTTTACCTCTAATGCAAGAAGGGTATAAAAAATGAACAGCTATTTATTTGAGCATCTCTTGTGTGTCAAATGTGGTGCAAGGGGAGTGATCTGAGGTAGTCCAAACTGGCCAGCATGAACCTTGACTTCAGTGAGTTCTCGATCTGGATGGGGAGGCAAAAGAGGAAGCAGATAAGTACAATATCAAATTAATGATTGGAGAAGGAGGCAAGTGACTGCTTGAGCAGAGGAAGTCTTCCCAGAAGAGATGCCAGTTGAGCTGGTTCTTAGAGGATTCAGCAGAGCAGGAGAAGGAGGGAGGGTTAAGGCAGGGGGCTGAATATAACAGAAGACAAGAAATGTAGAAGTGAATGAATGGTGGCTTCGATTGATGTAACTGGAACACAGGAAGTAGTAAGTCTGATGGTTGGGGGGAGGGCAAGATGACAGAAAGCCTGGTATCCTCTGGGCAGTGGTCACAACAGAGGAGTGATATACTCAGATCAGTGTTTCAGAAAGACTACTGTTTTAGCAGGAGGAACTGGGCTGGTGGGGAGAAAATTCATACAGGAGTTTCAATAAGAGATCAAGAGACAGAAGAAGGTGGAATGAGGCATGGGAGGAGCCAGTGATTTGAGGGACAATTAGAAGTATGCTGACAGGATTTAGCACCTTGGAAGCTAAAGTAGAAAAGAAGCTAGGAGGTAAGTGGTGATGTCTTTAACTGAAAAGGTGTAGCGCAGGAGACAAGGAATCCTGCAGTTCTTGTCAACATACCAAGTCTGGCATACATGCCACTGGAATGGAAGGTACATGAGGGCAGCAATTGGCGTTTTGTTCCTTGGTGTATCCAAGCCTAGTACTCTCTAGAAACAGAATGGGAGTAGCACTGAAGGAAAAGCTTCTCATAGGATGCTACAAATTTGGGCGAAGATGGCAAATAGATTATCAAAGCTCAGAGACAGGGAAGGGTAATCATGGAAACCATGGCAAGTGAATTAGCTGCTTCAGAGGAAACAAGGGACAGGAAAAGAAGACCACCATCGGGATGAAACCAGGAGGAAACCCTGGTGGATATCAGCCTGGTAGCCTGGTCAGAGGAGATGCCCACCATCTAGGGGTTCTCCCTTAGAGGAACTGGGCATTGGTTTGCCAAGTGAAGCTGCCCCTCATCTACCAGAGAATTTACCTAGGAACAAGAGAAGGAATACACAGACATTGCAGGGGTGTATGGCTGGCATCAGTGTCAGCTTTTCCTCTTTGGCAACCATTTACAAATTTCAAATTATACTTGGTAGGTGACAGCTTAGTACTCCTTATTTTCCCTGCTATGCTGGGTGATTTAAATAATTTAAAAAGGGGGTTAGTTGTATTCACTTTTGAAATAGCCCATAGAGAATGAAGGAGGTAAGTAATTCTAAATTGCTTTCCTCAGACATTGGGGAATTCTGAATCTTCTTATAGCCCCATTTTGCATTTCTGTTTTATTTGGGAAAACAGGTGCAGTGGAACACCTGCGGTGGTAGGGGCAGCTTCAGCTTCGTGAGGCTAGCTCCTTCATAGGGGAGTATTTCTTGGTCTAAAATTTAAGATTATTTGACTTTTTGGTAAATTTCTTTAAGTGTCTCTTAAATATATATAGCAATTTCTTCTTTAATAAAAACAAGATCTTTTTAAATTAAAAATCAGTTTACTACACACCTTTTATCTACCAGGCACAATGCTTGCTAATGGAACTGTGAAATAAGTAAATACAGTTTATGGTCTCCACCCTTAGGGGAGAGATGGACACATGGCTTTGGTACTATGTAACCTCCACCTTCGTTAGGTGCAAGAACTTCAATCCTCAAAACATCCACTTTCATCACCCATCAGCCCGCTTTCTTACATATCTTTAGCGTACTTAAACCCAGACAGCCCAAAGATGGGTTGACGCTCATGTCTGAGAAAGGCATTTGTTGCTTCTCCAAGTAACCAACTCTCTGTAGGTTTGCAGGGGGAAAAATCCCATGTAGGTGTCTCTTGTCAGGAAGAAGTTAAATGCAAGCAAATCCTGAATTGCATATAATCATGATCATATTGAAATCCATGAAAGGGAATGTTTTCATATTAATATTCACAATGCTAATTTCATAATAATAGTCACAGCATGTCGAACAGTTTAAGAAAATTGAATTTGTATTTGTCATTAATGTTGACTGTGCAGTGGACACCTGAACTCAAGCTCACCACCGTGCTGTGGAAGTCCTAAATTCAGAGTCTTCTTCTTTTGAATTTGCTCCTCTTGACTTTGTTTTGTGCCTTTCCTAAGAGTTGGGGAAAAGGGAAGTAGGCTTGAGGGGAAAGAACAGAGAAGGTTTGAACTGGTATTTTGACATTTGTCAGCACTTGCCAAAAGGGACAACTGGTTTCAGCATGAGAGCTGGCACGTCTGTCTCTTGCTCAGATTGACAATCCTTGAGATTCCTTTTATGAGTGTGTATTAAAAACCATTTCTTCATTGAAAACCTTCTGAACTCTATACTGGCCTCAAAACCTCTTTACCTCCCCAAGCTGGCACATCTGGGTTTCCCAGGTTACAAACAGTTTGGAAACAATCAGTATTATTTCCTTAGCTGCTCTGTAAAGGCCCCAGAGTCCCATCTTCCTTTTCCTCTGACTATTCCCAAGGCTGTGGAGAAACAAAGAGACTTCTACTGAAGTACTAGGGAAATGTATTTTGCAATACTAGCTAAAATAGGTAAGCAAGATTTGGGGCTGCCAGAGAGAATATTCTGAAGTGTTGTTGTGAACTGTTTCACATTGCATCCCTTGCTTAATGTATTTTTCTTGCTTCTTTGCTTCTCTTTCTTGGGTATGGGCAGCTGTGGAGAAAGAGATTAAATGTATACAAACCTGGAAACCTAACATTCTTATAGAAGCTTACCACGTGTCTATTGAAGGCCACTAGGTGGAAGTCACTAGTAACTGTGCTATGGGGCCTTCAGTGGGCCAAGTGGCTTCTGAGGACATGTTTGGGAAGACAGCCAGGCCCACTGTGGCCTATGGCAAATGCAGGGGTCTTTCTGCTGTGATGACCTCAGAATAGCTGCAAAGGAGAATTGCTGAGCTTTTCATTTCCTGCTGTAGACACTATCTTTCAGTTAGAAAAGCTAAGATGGCGGCACCTTGCCTTTGGGGCATAGGAGCAGCATACTGTGTCCATGTAAGTGTTGTCATTATGAGCATTTATTAAGCATTTACTGTGTGTTACACAGTATACCAAGGACTTTCTGTGCATTTCCATTTTAATCTCCGAGCCACCCTTTGAGATTGATATTACTGGTAATACTAACTCAGGAAATCTGCCCTCAGTGAAGTGAAATATGGGTCCAAAGGTGTTGTAGCCCAGTAAGTGGAGAAGAACACAACCAAGGGACCTGCTTGCTTAACCACCATGCTCTCTGCTTCCCTCTGATCACATGTACCCCTTCTGGGTGCTGTTCTGGCCAACAAAGTGCATCTAGTTCTGCCTTCTGGGCAGACAAAGTTCCAACTGGAAGAAAGATATTTTCTAGAACTGAGCAGGATAAGTATTTTATTTTATAGCTTAAAATTTAAAAGATAGAGCTGGAGGTGTGGCTCAAGGGGTAGAGTGCCTGCTTAGCAAGTGTATAGCCCTGAGTTCAAACCCCAGAACCACAAAATAAATAAATAAACATAAATGTTTTAAATGTATCCACATACATTTAAAAAATTAAAAATACATGTTTTCCCCTTTCCTCTAAAAAGACATTATTATTACTGTGAGCTAAAAGCTACTAGACAGGGGAATTGGAAATAATATGAAAGACTAAGAAATTACTGCTTTCTTGAAATTGTCTTTATGATTATAAAAGGATTTTTTCACTGAGAACACAGGTCACACCTGGAGTGGGAAGAAAGCAAGCATTCTGTAATCTATTAGTTAGAACATAGGTGGGTGACTCTGAGACTTGGCATGCCTTAAAATCACCTAAGTGGTTCTGATGGATACTATGGTTAGGCCCAGAGATCTGTGGATCAGAAAATTCTGATGTGGCTGGTTTCCAACCACACTATGAGACCTGACACTGGAGACTGGGAATACTTTTGTGTCTGCCTTTCCTAATGTATAAAGCCGGTTCTTTGTGAATATTTCCCTTAGAATTACTCGTTCTTAAAATAATTGTACCTTATAATAATTATGATAATAGAGGGTGAGTTTAGTTTGTTAATGGGTACTTCTAGAGGAACAGTCCCATTAATTGAACAAATTGGTTGAACACCAATTTATATAATGCATGCAGAATATAAAATTGCTGTAATCAATATAGGATGAAAGCCCCAAGTGATTGGAGTAGTGCAGTGAAAGTCTTCAGGACAGAGTGCAGCCTCGGGGATGTCAGCCCCACAGTCAATGTCCTGTTGATATTTGCAGACTATTATTTACAGACTTTGCTGATGATTATAACCATGTATTTATGCCATCAAATTTAATGGATGTAAGCTATGTGCAATGCACCTGCCAGGCTTTGGGGAGAGTACAGAAAGTCATGCAGGACTCAGACCTGGTCTAAAACTACTTATAATTTGTAAAATTTGACATTGCTTATGTTGGAAAGGGCTATGTTAGTCATAACTGTTACTTGTTCGTGAATAATTTATGACCAATTGAAGTGCAGTGCACCTTTGAGGACTGTGAAAACAATAATAAGAGTGATGACTTTAAGACACGTGCTTTCCATTTCTTCTCATCCTCTCCATGTGCTCCAGTGTATGTTACTACTTCTTATTATGAGGTTGGAGAGGCCTTTATTAAAAGAGAAACTCATAAAAGTGGATATCAAAGGACTGCAGATGCCACTTCCAGTTCTCTCCTGTGTGATATCCGTGACATTTCCTCCTCTGTGTCTACTATTTCAGTA